TTATTAAAGAAAAGGTGATAGCAACATAATGAGTGACTTGTATATTCTGATTCAGAGAGAAAGACACCAAAATGCATGGCCAGAAAGATGATGCCACAAATGAAAAAACCGCCAAAAGAAAGGCACATGTAAAGTATCCAGTGATAAGGAGCATTAGTAGGGAGCTTGCACAGACTGAAAAAATTAAAAAAATTAAAAAAATAAAAAAAAAAATTAAACCAATGAATTACCTCCACGGTTTTCAAATTTATCCTAATAAGCTCCTTACGACTCTCGAAATTAGGCAATGGTATGTATATTCTTTTCTCCAGCCGCCTCCTACATTCATCGGGAATAAAATCAGATAAAAGGGAAACACAAAATTACAAAAGGTATAAGCTTGAAGGAAAATATATAAAACAATAATTCACAATATAAGAAAGCGCGAAAACAAAGGGAAACCTCAACGCCTCATCTATATCCCAAGGAAAATTAGTAGCAGCTAAAACCATCACAATCTTTCGTGTACCATCCTCATTAGTGGAAGATGCATTGACACCATCAACCTGAACCAGAAGCTCAGACTTCACCCTTCTGGATGATTCATGTTCTCCAGAAGCCCTAAGGAAAAGGAAAAATCATGCACATAAAGAGATTTAGTCCAAATAATAACAAAGAAAAAGGAAACAAAATATATAGCAAAAAAAAGTGAACTTACCCACGAGCATTGCAAAGAGAATCAATCTCATCTATGAATATTGTACTGGGAGCATGAGCCCTAGCAAGATCAAACAAGCACCGGACCATTCTCTCACTTTCTCCACGCCATTTTGAGGCCAAAGTTGCCGAAGAAACATTAAAAAAAGTGGTTCCACATTCGGTGGCAACTGCTTTAGCAAGAAGAGTTTTCCCAGTTCCTGGAGGCCCAAACATGAGGACACCTTTCCATGGTCTCCGAATTCCCTAAAAGACAGATGCTTTCAGTCATGCATGTTCGTTTAAAATGCATTTTTTTTCCCCAGTAAAGTAATAAATTTCAATTAAAATCTACTTGACGCACCCCGGTTTATGTTAGACATGCATCTTCACCAATACAACATAAAGAGTGAAGAGAATCATACTTACTTTAGGGAATTTAGCTAACATGCGCACATAATAAGTTTTTCATCTTTTATCTAATATATGGTACCTGAAAATAGTCAGGCATCAACAATGGAAGAACCACAGCTTCCTCTAAAAGTCGTTTGGCTTCAGTAAGCCCAGCCACATCATCCCATCTAACACCAGGGCTTGAGTCCAAGACATCCCTCTCAAGCATAGCAGCCAAGTCAGCATCAGGACCTTCATATTGAACTTTTTTGGGCTTGCCATCCTCAGAATCACCATTCTGAAAAAATGTAGTGAATTAAATAAAATCAAGAGGAAGAATACACCAACATGCAGTCAAAGCACGACCAGTCATAGATCGTCACAAGAAGCCTAAAGCCGGCAAGCATGATTCAGGATGCCCTCTACCGAATCTATGGATTAAACATTCTTACTACTACCTTCTGAGAATAAAAGAGCACCTCTAGTAAAATTAAAATTTCTTGCTATTGATTAACTTTTTTATAAGCTTAGGACACTCATGTGTGGGACCAAAAGTCAACACCAAGAAGGTAAGCAGCAATATCAGCATAAAACTTTATTTAAGATCCTATGACTAAAACAATGTATTAACCATTATGGCACCGGATGCTAAGATAGCTAGTCGCGTGCAACAAAGCAAAGAACATATAATAGACTTCAATCATTTTATGGATTATTATGTAGATAGCATTTAAGTAGCAGATGAAACTACACGTATGAAAAGAATAAATGCACATGCAATAGCCTGAAGTATAGCAAGCGACTTAGAGGGAATTAAGAAATAGTGAAGGCACCCATGGTTATTGGCCTAGACTATCACTTATGAGAGAGAGCAGCTTATAGTCTCACTGAACACATGCAGTGAGTAAATTTATAGCAACAATGAGAATAACTATAAATTTGTGGCCTTTACCACATTCTAATGTTCTGTCATACAACATACTACAAAGCAAAGAAGTAATTGTACTATTATTGTCCCAATAAATTCATATAAAAATCCTTCAACGTATCTGCTGAGTAAAAACTAAAACAAAAAACTGATACTAGCATTAGGATGTCTATTTCTATCCAACAATATGATAGTGAAACTACCTCACCTACCGAATAACCAGCAGTTATCAACAAAGTAAAGCACACTTAGCAGGAACATAGTCACTCGCTGCTCTCAGAAAGATCAAAACAAGCAAGATGGTAACGGCCAAACTAACTTCGTGCTACAACGAGTCAATCACTTAAACATTTCCAAATATATTGGATTCCCAAGGTTGTCAACAATTATCTACGTACAAGACCAACTTAAGAAGTAAAGCTTCAACAATGATTACTCACAACAGAATCTGCTTTTCCAGAGCTTGATTTCACAGTGCCTTTCTTCCCAGCTGTGGATGATCGAACTCCTGTGTTGACTTTACTAGTGGCACCAGTCCTCCCCCCACGTGCAGTTGTTCTAGTGGATCCACCACGAGCCCAAGCTCCGTCCTGTGGAGACTTTCTCATGCCCACTTGACCCGCTCTCGTAGGCCTCCTACCTGTAGGATCCCGAGTAGGAGGCCTCCACACATCAGGGTCGTCCATGGGGGCCCCAGAAGAAGTGGGGTATTCATCCAACGGTTGAAAAACAAAAGAAGACTTGGTTGAAATAGGAGGAGAGCTGGGCCGCCTGCCAACAGGAACCTCCTTGAATGATTTTTTCTCAGCATCCAACTGCTTCACCACCTCTGTTTCTTCAGAAATAGCTTTCTTTACGTTCATCCATTTAGTACGAAGCATGGGATCATCCACTGTATTCAAATGCCTATAAAATCACAAAAGAAAAAAAAAAAATCAGTACAGGACATCAGCATACCAAGCTGCATCACTTCAGTTAGCTTAGATAATACCTCTGACAACACAAACACAAAGCATAATTCTGTTTCTTCATAACAAGCACGATAACTAGATTCCAGTTGAATTTCAACTACCATCCACAATTGAACTAACTAGATCCCCTGATTGGTGTCAGTGCTCAGTAGGTACAGCACAAAGTCAAGAAAATTAAGTTTGGCCACGGAGATTTGGCAGAAGATAAGAGATCAGAGAAAATTACTTGTTGATCTGAGCAATGGCGCCATCGAAGAAGATAACGGAGGTGTCGTAGAGTCCTTCCACAGCGTATTCTCTCGCCAACTTCAGATGATCTTGCAAGCCCGTCAATGAAGCGCCCACCATTGCCCACTGCACGCGTACAGACAATAATTTCAACGAGCTTTGCTCGAATTAGGGTTTTGAAACAGCCCAAAATAGGAACAGCAAGCTCAGAGAGAATTGTGGGAAACGAGAAGAAGAATAGATTGATACACCGGAATGCAATAGAACTGAGAAAAATGACTGTAGGATTTGAAGCTGGTGACTGGTGACTGGTGACTGGTGACTGGTGACTGGTGAGGGTCTTCAGGACACAGAACTGCGCTAAGACGACGACGTTTAAGCGGTCGACAGAGGAGAAGAAATGGAAATAATTTGCACTTGGGTGTCGTCTCTAATAATTCTCTATACGTTGCTATGGTGTGGTAATTTCATTTTAGATATTTTAGAGAGACAATGAATATAAATTATTTTAAAAAAAAAAGAAAAAGAAAAAGATATGTTTGATAGAAAAATGTGAATTGGACAGTGGAAAAAAAATTGGAACAATAACAACATAATTTTAAAATTGTGAATAAATATGAGATAACATATAATGATTAAAATTGACGTGATAAAAAAAATACTAATTGAATGTAAATAATTGTAGTTAAAAATATGTAAGTTGATAAATAATGAATTTTATTTTAAAAATTATCCTACTAAACAGAACAAAGTACTAATGATAATAATAATAAGAATAATATCCAAATGTTGCTTATATTTTGATTTGTGCAACATTAATTTGGAAAAACATTTCATAACTTTTTCAAGCAATGTTTTTTAATACAAATTTTTTAGCTTGTATATCTGCAGCTCGTATTTTTATTTGAACCAAGTATCAAATTATCTTTAGCAAAATAGTAACAGAAAATCTTGTTATAAACAATTCAGAATTTATTACTTTAAATATGATTAAGTTTATTGAAAAATTGAAAGTAGTCCAACAACCATGTGAAACTTTTTGGTGGATCCATTTACTTTTAACCTTTCGTTATAAGTTCAAATTTTCAAAAACAACTTCGTCAGTTGCATGATTAGAATATTTTAGTCCTAACCACTCTCAAACTGTTTTAATTAAGCCACCCATTTTGTTTAACAAACTCAAGCTCAGTTGTAAGAGCATATTTAACTTATTAGTTAAAAAGTAATTATTATTATTATTATTATTTATTATTATTTAATAAAAAATAGTAGTAACATGCTCACATAGTTTTAACTTATTATTAAATATATTATTTTTATATCATATAAATTTTAATTATTATATTTTATCATATATTCGCCAGTGTTCTAAAAGTCGCTAGGCGCCCGTTAGGCGTTCGACCAGTGCCTAGCGCCTAGAGCGCCTAGTCGGAGCCTAGGCGGCGCCTAGTCGGGGCCCAGAAATCAATAGTAAATACCTTAATTTTATTTATTTTAACTACCTACAAAATAAAATTATCTCAACATATAATAAATTCACACACCAAAGTCCAAATAATAATATTAATATATATTAAAGAAAACATGAGAACAAAATAATATAATTACTATTTAAGAAATAAAAAAAATTAAAAAAAATTGAAAAATTGCCGCCGAGCCCGCCTAGGAGCGCCTAAGTCCGCCTACGCCCGCCTAGACACCGCCTGGCCGCCGAGCCCGCCAAGGCCGCCTAGGAGCGCCTAGGGCCGCCTAGGCCCGCCTAGGCGCCGCCTAGCCGCCTGGCCGATTTTTTTTACCGATTTGTACAAATCGGAGGCGCCCGGGCACCGCCTAGCGCCTAGGCGCCGCCTAGGCGGCCGCCTAGGCCGATTTTTAGAACAGTGATATTCGCTGACAATTAAAATATCTATTTGAAAAAAAAAATATAATTTTTTAGATGAGACAAGAATTTCCAACAAAAAATCTCGATATCCATTTTGAAATATGATATTTCTAATGATCGAAAATGCCCACCTACCCACGTTGGGCACGTGTTAATATGCCTACCGCTTATGTGGCATGCATACATGGGTGATGTCAATATATTAAAAAAAATACATCACCAATGTGTGCATGCCACATAAACGATGGACATATTAACATGTGCTCACCGTGGGTAAGAGAGCATTTCCCTTCTAATGATTTAGATTATAGCATGTTGTTACTGTTTGTCCCATTTTATTGTTAGTTTTTCTCCTTGTTTATTTGGCATTTTTTTACTCATTTGTAGGACTATTTTATTAAAATGGGTCTAGTTTTTTTATATTTTATATGTTTTATGTTTTTTTGGTGTTTATCACTCATGTTTATGATATTCTTATTGTGTGTTTGCATCTTTTTGGTTGAAGGTGAACACGTCAATTTATCAAGCTAAGAATAATCCAAATCAAGCCTCATATTCCAAGTCATTTTATCGGTAATCGATATACTCGAAAGCTCGACAAGTCAATCATGGAGCGAGCCAACTTTTCAAACCATCATAGCCCACGAAATCCTTCACGGCCCGTGAACCTTTTCATGGCCCGCGAGAATCTTCGCGGCCCAATTAGAAGATCATCACGACCCTTCATGGTCGTGAACCCTGCTCGTGGACACAAGCGCCCCTAGCTTCTCTTATGTTTGGATTCTGGAGAATTTCACGTTGGGGTTGAATTACTGCATAATCTTTGGTGATTGTAAGTTTTTATTTCTCATCTATTATTATTGATTGAATGAGAATTTCCTTATCCGACTAACATGAATCTGAATCCAAGCATGAGCCAAATATCATCCACCTAGGGATTGGGATTTCAATTGTCGTCTTGAACCGTGTTGAATGTGTGATAGTTCATGACTGTTCTAATTGTTTGAATATCATGATTAGTTACTTGATCTATAAATAGTCTAAATTGATAACCTATAAACTGAAAGGGGTTGATGAGGTATCTGACCATTGTTCAAATGGGTTACACATGTTCGTAATTGTACTGTCTATATGTTCATTGATTGAGATATGTATTTTGTCTATGTCCAAACCGGTATTTGTAAGGGTATCGGGGATGAACTTCTAGATTCGTGACTTTTATTTATTCGTTTATGTCAATTCTCTTATTATGAAAGTAGCTGGAAGCGAACCACGAGGCGTTTAGATGAGAGTCTCAGCCTTTAGACAGACCAATTTGGTTACGATTAATAAAAGAGTGACACGTAGCAAGGTAAATTGGGGTCTAAAAAATGCATGAAATAAATATATAAACGACAGGTCTTTCGAATTGAACTTCAGATACCGACCTGGATTATTTTCGAGGTGTCTCCGACCATAGATGATGACAAGTCCTCGAATGCCAAACTCTTCTACTACATGGCCGGACAGAACCTTACAAACCGACCGATCTGAATATCGCAAAGAAGCCATCTCCAGTAGACACCATTATTATCTCCACGATAAGCACCAAATGTAGCTGTCAGTCATTATCATTAGACCCCGCGCGGTCACATCACATTAATTGTAATTGTATTGTTATAGTACTTTATTTTATTAATACGTATGTGCTAGGCACATAAAATGGGGGCCTCAATTATTATTGTAAGAAAAAAATAAAAGGGAGAGAAAATTCTCCCAAAAGAGAAAGAAGAACATCTGAACATTCACGAAGGGTTCTTTATTCTTTATTTTTATACAAAATTCGAATTTTATTTTTGTGTTCATCAGATTTTTGATATCAACATAAATGTAGATTAATTACATGCCAATTTTCTTCTCCAAAACTAGGCCAATTTTGGTAATATAATTTGGTTCTGTACTTCTGTAGATATATAGTTTTGTCATGGTTACATTTAGGACTATATTAATATATTATTTTATTTTCCTCATAATGAAAAAATTGAAAATTTTCCATCACACAAAAAAGTAAAATACGAAAATGTGCGCGCGGCTGTGTGCGCGCAAGTCAATAAATTAAACAACGTGGCAAAAACTGTAGCGGTTTATGCAATGGGCCAACCCCAAGCTGATCGATTTTCATCAGTCACCATAGAAAATAGAAAAGGATTATAGCAATTCAATCTCAATCTCAATCTCAGAGGAGATAACTATGGCGGTGCTGAATGCGTTGTCCCCGCCAACCAAATCTCTACTGCTTGCGTCATCCTCGGATCAGATTTCCTACTTTTTAACTAATAATGACGGCACGAGCTCGCGTTGTTCGCACAGAGCTATTTCCAAATGGAGTTCATTTCCCACAAATTCCGCGGTTCATAAGCAAAAAACTCCAACAGCGAAATTGAAGCTGTACGCGATGCAATCCCACACAAGTTCATCAGGTACTTTATGCAGATCTTTTTTTTTCTTTTTTTTGTTGTGTGCTACCTTGTTGTGCGGATTATTGTTTTTGTTTTTCCGGTTGTGATATAGATTTGGGAGGTTTTGGATATCGTTCGTGAAGTTTTGGGTTTTCGAAGGGCTTATTTTTTTATTTTTTTTTTGTTAATTTTTGTTATTCCAATTAATTAGTTTTTAAGTACTATCTAGAAATGGAGTAATGTGAAATGAAATGAAAACGGTGAAGAAGGGGGAGATTCAGAAGTACGATTTTTGAAATCTGATTTTAGAGTGTTATTATGTACTTTTTGGCTTTTATAAGTTTGTATTTGTTTTGTACTATCTGTTAGTGCCTAGTGTTAATTATGCATTAGTACCTGAACAGAAACCTTTTAAACAGATATGCATTTAAAATATAATATTCTAGAAATCAACATAAACAAAAATATTAAATATCATAGCATGAATATGCATTTTTGTAAAAAAAGTTTGTCGGGTCGATCGGCATAACAGTTAGGCTGACTTATACAAGAATTTGTGCCTTCTGAAATGCTTTTACAGTTACACGGATGAATGGCTCTTTCTTGTTCTTCAGTATAGAGAGAAAAAAGGAGTCTTGAATTAGTACTATAGAGTATAGAAACAAATTTTCACTCTGTACGAAGTTAAGTGTAACTGTGGCCAACATTAACATTGTAAGCACTCTTGTAGAAGAAAAGTTATGCTGAACCATAAGTGAAAAAGAGATTCAGAAAGCTATTCCTTAAAAGTTGATGGAGACAAATGTTTAGGAAAGAGGAGAAAGCAATCTTAGGTTGCGTTTGGATAGGAAAAAAAAAAATGGAAGTTGGGAGAGGATTTGGAGAACTTTTCTTGCAGCCTGTTTTTTGTATTTTGACAATGCATCTGAATATGAGAAAGTTACAAAGTAAAGACAAATCATATGGTAGTGACCCCTCAATGTCCTGACTTTTTATGTTGAGTTACTTCTTAGCATTACATTTTATAAAAGGAGAAAATTACAAAAAAATATAAAAATAAGAACACTTAAAAGTTTGACCTAGTTACAAAAACTAACACATGAATTAATAAATAAAAATTGAAGTGCAAAGATTACCTGAGGCTTGATTCAGTATAAAAATAGGGAGTAATAGTTGTAATTCCTTGATGAATGTGAAAAGGGATTCTTAATTCATTTTGCTTATGAATGGGTGAATTCAAGACAAAAGTAATTGTAAGGATATTTTTGGAATTTTTTTATTAGATGATTTTTCCATAAGTATGGAAATTCCATGATACTTTTGGTAACTAATATTTTGCAAAATGCTACTTAACGTTACCACATTGAGGTCTTTGGTGTCATTGCCTTGCTTTTTGTCAGGAATAATTGGTTTATTTTAATTTCAGGCATTGGATTTCCATGGTTAAAAGACACCTCTTCTAATGGCAATACAATTCTTGGTCGCGGAAAAACCAAAGGCCCATTGCATTCTGTGTTCCCCACGAAACCAGCTGAAGTCTCTTCTGTAAAAGACCTTTTTGAATTTATATGCTCGGGTCCTCTTATGGACAAAGTAGGCCTAACCCCAGAGAAAGTGGCTGAATCAATTGACAAGTGGGTGTTGTGCGGATCACAGCTTTGTAGATTGTTTCAGCTGAACGAACTTTATCTCACAGAGCCTCAGAAAGTTCGGTTATACCATTATTACATACCGGTTTTCTTGTGGTGTGAGCAAGAAATCTCGAATCATAATTCTAAGTTCAAAGATGGAGAAGATGTCCCCCCTTTGGTGGTACGTTATAATGTTTGAGTCATTGCTTTAGTGTTTAAAGTTGGATTAAAAAAACACTCATGAGGTTCAACCAATTTAAAAAAAAAAAGAAAAAAATAAACTCCAACCGGAAATATATTTACAAATTACATTCCTTGAGCTTTCTGAATATCATCACCTCCACCTTTTGTCCTGCATTTTACATTAATGGAAAGTAGGTTGCATTTTACTTGAGAGATATTTAACGACAGCAAATTCCATCAAATTAACCAACAGCTGCGGGAGATTGTTAGAAGATATCTGACCTAAATAGGTGTTTTTCTTGTAATTAGTAATTATGCGTCGAAAATCCTAGTTCATATACTTGTATAAATTAAATACCAAAATTACTCCCAAGGCTTTTTCTACAAATACCTCTAAAAAATGTTACAAACTACCCCTTCAAATATGGAACAGATGTCAATGAAGAAATTGTAGTTTCAAAAGACGAGCATAGACACTTAACTGGTTATTATCTGCTGATAAGCGTGGTTATAGCGACTGTTGAGTCTGAAATTTTTAATAATTTGTTTTAGTTTCGGTGCAGATTGGATTTAGTGCGCCACAAGGTTGTGGCAAAACAACACTCGTCTTTGCATTGGACTTCCTTTTCAGAATCACTGGGAGGTAGATTACAAAAGGGTAATCATTTGTTGAAAGTAATAATATTGGAGACCGTCCAAATAATGGTAACAACTAACAATTGAATTTCAGGAAGACTGCTACTATATCCATTGATGATTTTTATCTCACAGCAGAGGATCAGGTAGTTATCTCTTTTCATGAATCTGCTATGTTTAGCCTTCACGTGTCTAAAACTATTTGTCTCTTTCATCATCATGAACTCGCAACCACGTGCATTTCCTATACTATTAATTCACAACACAAAATATAAGACTTGTTTCGGCTGTAATAACATATCTCCCGCGTTCATTAGTTATCCTGATTAATGAATTTTAACTATGTGTATATCCATTTTAGGCCAAACTGAGAGAAAGCAATCCTGGGAATGCACTTTTAGAGGTAATTCGGACAAGACTCTAAAGTTGGATATCCTTTTTTTCCCTAACTTTTTTTTTTTTTGAATTAAAACTTTTATTTTTGCCTTTCAGTTACGTGGAAATGCTGGTAGTCATGATCTTAGGTTGTCCATCGAGACATTGACAGCCGTAAGCAAATTAACTAAAGAAGGTGATAAGTGAAAACCCAAATCAGTTGAATTGTTATTCATTATTCTGATCATGCAATAGTGGAATTAAAATTTATTGCGATTATTTTTGTTAAAACGTAGGCACAAAAATGAAGCTGCCTCGGTATAACAAGGTGAGCACACATAACACCAAGACTATTTTCACATTTTTTGGCATGTGAAGCCATTGATGGTACTATACTTAGTTCTATTTTCTCTTTGCAGTCCGCGTATAATGGTAGAGGTGATCGATCCGATCCTTCAAAGTGGCCAGAGGTGGAGGGTCCACTGACTGTAGGTCTTTTGTACTTAATCTATTGATCAAATGAGAATAGTGTTTTGCCTAATTTACTTGCATATACCATCAACATTTCTGAGTTCATACTCCAGTTTACTTAGTTCAGCGCTTAATATTAATTAAGGGAGATATTTTGAAATAATTACCTCCCATGTTTAGATTAAAATTTGAGTAATCTTTAAAAAATTACACACTATAACAACTTAAAGTATTGCATATCAAGTTTGTATTCTTAACAATTATTATTATGTTTTTTTTCATAACTTTCTTGATTGTGTAGGCTGTTCTATTCGAAGGCTGGATGCTTGGTTTTAAACCCGTGCCAGTTGACGTCGTGAAAGCAGTTGATCCACAGGTTTGAGAGCTTGGATGCATATTTTTTGCATTTAGGTTAAGTCCCACTTTCATTTTTAAGCTCGCGAGAAAAAACATAATTTTGCAGCTTGAGATTATCAATAAAAACTTGGAAGCTTATTATGATGCGTGGGACAAGTTCATCAAATCATGGATAGTAATAAAGATTCAGGACCCCAGTTATGTCTATCAGTGGCGTTTGCAGGTAATTTATTCTCAATCATCCTTATTAGGGTTTATTTGTAATACAATTTTTTTTTCTTACAAATTTCAAGATTGTATTTGTAATTTTAAAATGGCAGTTGGATTGTTTGTAATCAACTAAACTTCAAGGAACTTCTTTTAATTGTCCCAAATACGATTATTTTCAGGCTGAGATTGCCATGCGAGCTGATGGAAACCTAGGAATGTCTGATGAGGAGGTATTTTTGAAGGTTTAACATTACTGTTTTTTTAAAACTTGTAACTAAACTGCAAGACGATCATATGTTGCAATTCACTTAATAAATCAAATATAATTGCAGGTTCTTGATTTTGTTTCAAGATACTTGCCAGCATACAAAGCATATCTCCCTACTCTTTATTCTGAAGGGCCAAATGGAGCCGATCCTAATCATTTGCTCGTTGTCGATATTGATGAGGGCCGAAACCCAATTCTCGGTAATTAGATGACAAATCCCAAGTTTCAGATTTTTTTATTTTTTTTTTGTATGTAAGTTAATTCTTTTAGTTGTTTTACCAATAAAACAGATTATCAGAAAGTCTTAATCCTGATGATGCAAGAATGTATAGAGTTTCCTATTGGGGAAAAATTTGACAAAAAATCCTACTATTTCATACTTAAGCAATCTGGGCACATAGGAATTTTTTTAACATAAATCACAGTATTATGCACTCCAAGTCAACAAAAAGATAACATGTAGATATATATAGCAAATTCCATTATATTAGAGGATGCTTGGATATAAATTTTTTTGAATTTGTTTGGATTTTTTGGATTGATTTGGTTAATTTTGAAAAAGGTGGTATGGTTAGTTGTTAGTGAGTATATTAAAATAATATTTAAAATAAAATAATTAAAATTAATTTGATGTAAAAGTATGAGAGAGAGATTTGAAGTGATGGTTAGTTAAAATTATGTGAGGGGATGAATAGTGAATTAAGGTTGATGTGATGTGTAAGAATGATTGGTTGATATTATTTAATTATATTAATAATATTAATGATAGTTGGGTTGAATTAAAGTTGAGTTGAAAAAAATGGTTGAGTTATAATTCTGATTTTAAGGTGGTTATATCATATTATCGAAAATAATAAAGTTATCTCCGTTCCTAAATAAAATCTGTTTTCCTATGGCAGTATTGGAAATATAGTTCTCACCTGATTTTAAGGTGGTTATATTATATTATAAAACTCGTAGAGGTAGTAGCACCGTAAAATATTTGTCCAACCCTAAGTTTGTTTTTCCATACAATATTTTCTGCCATTATCATTTTTTTAACTTATTGTTCTTTGCCCGGTGTTAATTCAACCATTGTCCGGCTTCCATTTTCAAGAAAAAATTGTTTTATATTTATAAAATAATAAAATAAATGATTTGAAACACTCAATGCAAGGGAATGCATGTACCTGATTGCTTTATCTTGTCAAGAGGTATATGTGGAAAGAAAATGAGAAGATGGTCGAGTATTTATATAGAAATTTTTATTTTTTTTCTTATTCTTTTTATTTTGGCTATGGTCAAAGAATATTCCATATATTTTCTTTAAAGCAAAACCCTTTTTTCACTAGCAACATATATTAACTAGCAGCTGGATCTCCAAAAGGACGAGAAANGTTACATCTAACATTTATATACCTAATCCAATAGCTTCGGAGCTTTTCATCAACCTCATCCTCTTGCACGATTCGACAAACATTCTGTCAAGAAATTGTAACAAGCAACAACTTTCATCAGGGAAAAATAACTAACTAATAATCATGCCCGTTTCATGAAATATATTAGGTGGATGTCTAACTTTAGCCTTTAGATAAAAACATAAGGAAAGAACCAAATCTCAAAGATAACTGATTTTGCTACTCTGTCGCACATTTTTCAAACAAATAAAGCATTTCTGCAATTTATTCACAAGCCCCCTACTTTTAGCTTATCCGACTCGTGCCTTTACCAATTTACTCGATACTATATATCGAGTTCTGATTTTCAGTTACTTCTACACATGCATTCCGGCTGAAAGGAACTCATAATGACAAAATCCAAGATTATAAGGGGCAAAACAGGAAACTCACTTCCAAGGAACATCTCCAACTAACATCCAATCCCCATCTCTGTCCTCATAGGTCGGCACATATTGTGCACCATTTGCACACTCCATGATCGTCTTCTCGTTCATTACATCGCCTGAAAGCGCAAAAGGGAAAACTAATGAAATTAATCATCAGTAACCCACAACAAACAAAAACATAGTTTTAAGAGCTGTTAAGTGCGCTTACGTGTGGTTAGGCACACAAACATATCCTCAAAAGCAGCTAATAAGTCCTTGTAGCCAGTGCAGTTTTCGAGATCGATTTTTCTAAGATATGGAGCTCCATCCACAGCCACCTTCACAAATTTGCAAACTTTCATTATGTTCTTTCTATATGATCTCACCGGTGGCCATCCCACAACCTGAGCCCTACAATACAAAATTTCACACATTCGAAACACTTTAGCATTCGGCATTTAAGGAAAAATGGACAGAGTTTCTGGTAAATAAGCTAAAACTCAAGGGTAATATTCAAAGTCACCCCTGCAAGATTACCACTCTCTCTCTCTCTCTCACAACACACACACATTTTTCTTATCTTTTCTTTTCTTTCTTTTTTGAGCAATCTGTAAGAGATACCTTTTGAAATTCAGCAACACTGACTTTTTTATTCATGTATGTTTTGGTCAACATTGTATCAACAAATAGGAGGATTTTCACTGTTCAATCAAATAATGTTAAGCACACTACTGTAGAAGATTCTGCTGAACTTCATCCATGACTATAAACCATTGCATACTATCCACTATCCACACAACAAATTACTGCATAAAACCAAAATTAGAAAACCACAAAATTGAACCATTGCAAGACCAAAACAGAACAAATAATTGAGCCATTTATAAATGAAAGCAACATAAACACCCCATTTTCGAAAGCTACAACATTTTTGCATGGATGATTTCTCTTCACTAATCCGCGACAGAAATTAAAATCGAAATAAGAGCAGAAATAGTTGTACAAATAAAAATAGGCATACTTGGAAGTGGATTTTTGTGCAACAACACTAGCTTCAACCTCGGCGGTCGTACCCAGATCCAGATCGATGGTCTCGGGATAACCGCGTTTGGCCGGAGGCCTCGGCGCCTGTGCGGCGGCGTAGCCCGGCGGAGCCAAGCTGAGGTCCGTCTTCAGGCCGCCGTGATATTCTGAATCCGGCGAATTAATTAGGTTTTCCGGCGACATTAGCTTTTCCCTTGCTAAGGTTGACGAGTGGAGAGATTTGGATGATTTGAGCTGCAGGCTTTTAGAGTTTAGATTGAAATTATATATATGCAGACTTGCAGAGTTTCTGTGTGGAAATTGAAAGTTGAAACGAAGTTTCGATGTGATGTGATGGAAGGTCGAACCGGATGACACCGGTTTAATGGGTCGATTTTTTTATAAATTAATAGATTTGGATATACAATTCAACGGGCTAGTTCCTAGTTCTACTTTCGGATAGTTCAACGGGATAAATAAATAATAATCTTTTTATTTTTCAATTAAAATGAATATACAATCTAATTTTTATAAATAAAAGTAGATATGAGTATTATTTTTATTTATTTGTACGCATTATAAATGTTGAAAAGAAATTTTAATGATCTATTTCATATATTATATATAAAAATGATAACGAACTCTTGTTAGGCAAACTGATAGGTAGGTCAACCATATATATAGAGATGTAAATGAGTCGAGTCGATAGCTCGAGCCATTAATGAGTCTGTAATCATCAATCTCTAATTCGATCGACTAGTTTAACGAGTCAACTAATAGAAACTTGCATAAAGTTCTTTCTTATTTGAAGTTTTAACGAGTCGAGTCCAGCTCGTTAACTAATCTAGTTTTCAACAAGTTCAGCTTGTTTATAAAATGAGCTAAGCCGAACTCAAGTATTACAAATCAAACTCATGAGCAGCTCGTATCATTTGACATCTCTCATATGCATACTTTCAATATTTTAAAAAGTATCATCATCGACATATAATGTCATATCATAAATATATATTTTAATTAATAAAAATATAACGAATTAATTCTCCTAATAACTAAGCCATCCCACACAAGAGTGTTAATACAATATATAATTTCTTTAATATCATGTATACATTATGTAGCGCTTCAACACATTCAATAGACATATCCCAATTCATGTACTACAAATTAATGTGTGTAAAACTCAAAAAGAATTATTATAGCCAAACGTGTGGAGACTATTTGTCTGGTCTTTTGGGGGCAAAGTCAACGATTTTGATGAATGGAAGTCGGCCTTGTGACCAATAGCTTTGTCGGGGGGGAAATTTCTGCTGTACGCATACATTTATAGTTACCTATTTTAATACATGCAAAATTAAATGATGTTTTT